CAGGTTTAAGAGAGTACAGTGTCACACAGCTGTTGTCGATATAGTTATCATCACCACCATCACCATTCAGGAAGTTCCCCTTCCTCAGACCTTTTTTTTTTAAGTAACAGTTTCATTTACTTAATATTCTGTTTGGATTTGTGTTAAAACTGAATGTTATGGTATTCATTAGACCTTTGTTGTCCAGAGCCAGGGGTTGAACCCATGTTCATATGTGAAGTAAATGCTATATCCCAAGCTCCTTCAATCCTTTACATTGAAAGGACATCGATGTATGGGACATCGATGCTCCTCCTTGGAAGTTTCTCTCCTAGGCTAGAGTTCTTGTTTCATTTGGTTTGTTTTTGTTGATTTTTTTTATTCTGAAAGTTTTTATTCTTCTTATGTTGGGAATCAAACTGAAGCTTCACACAAGCTACAGAGGGTGTGGTGATTGGAATGAGAATGACCACATAGGCTTATAAACTTGAATATTCGGTCCTCAGTTAATGGAAGTGTTTGGGAAGGAGTTGGAGGTGTGGCCTGTTGGCCCAATCAGCATGCCAGGCCCAGACTCACACACACACACACACTCTCTCTCTCTCTCTCTCTCTCTCTCTCTCTCTCTCTCTCTCTTTCTGCCTGCAACTTGTGGATCAGATGTGAGCTCTCAGCTGCTTCTCCAGCACCATGCCTGCCTGCTGTCACACACCATGATGGCCACATCTCACCTTCTCACACTGTCAACAAGCTCCCAATTAAATACTTCCTTTAAGAGTTGCCTTGGTCATGGTGTCTCCTCACAGCAATGGAGGTAACTGAAACAGTGAAAAAAAAAAAGTAATTCTGGTTCAGGAAGAAAAGAGGAATTTGGAGAGACAAACTGGACAGGATGTTTGGGGACCTACAGATGGTAAAGCCATTATTATGACAGCTCAGATGGAAATGAGAACTGTTAATTGGGAGCTGGAAGAAAGGTGACCCTTTCCTAACTGTCAAAGGACTTGGCTGGGTTGTATTCATGCTCAATATTTTGTGGAATGTAGAATTATGAACAATGAAACTGGATATCCAGAGGAGGAGAACTGCTTAAAATTAGAAACTTGGTTGGTTTTTTTTTTTTTTTTTCCGAGACAGGGTTTCTCTGTGTAACAGCCCGGGCTGTCCTGTAACTAGCTCTTGTAGACCAGGCTGGCCTCTAACTCACAGAGATCTGCCTGCCTCTGCCTCCTGAGTGCGATTAAAGGCGTGCGCCACCACCGCCCGGCTTCAGTACTATATTATGTACTTCTATTATGTGCTTCAGAACTCTGGCCACCTCTACCCACCACCAAAGCTGCTCCCATACTTCCAAGTGTTGCTCCTGGTTGGTACCACTTTCTAACTAATCATCTGGGGGTACCATAACAAATGGCCACAAACAAGATAGCTTTAAAAATAAACATTTATTTCTCATGGTTGGTCCTAGAGTTGGGAAATCCAAGATCAAGTTGACAGCAAGTTATCTGGTGAGAAGTCTCCTCCATGTTCGTACAGTCATCTCCTCCTCATTGTGTCCTCACACGGCCAGCTGCAAGTGCTGTGTCTCTCCCATGAGCCATGAGGGCTCTACCCTGACTACTGCACATCTCCCAGAGGCCCATCACCTATGCCATTAACTTGGGACCATATTTCAGTAATAAATGTAGAGGCATGCGTACATTCAGTCCGTCATATATGATAAGTGGTTCATATAGTGTCTGTTTGGTTCTCACTGGAAGCTACTAAGTGGTCTCTGTCTTATGACCGAGTCAGCAAATTTTGTTTAAGGTCACATAGCTAGCAGGTAGAGGGATGGGAAGCAGACTCTGCTCTGGGCTCCAGATCCACATGTCATCTGCTGCCAGGGATTTGAAAAGGGTGGTCTGCAGACCCTTTGTGCTAGAATGATCCCCAACCTGCTAGACAGAAATTGTTGTGGAATGATCCAGTGGTCTACATTGTAAGAAGTGTCCCAAGTGCCGCTCCTAATTCAAAAATTAAAGGCTCCCCATGCTCGTAATAGAATCATATAAACTCCGTTGAGACCTGTAAATAATTTCCCCATAACTAAGTACATGCTTCTCTCCGCTGCTTCGAGTCTGTGACAAAGTGATGTTGCTTTCATATGTGTACACATGCTCATATCTAGCACTAATCATTTTCCTGTAATCTCATTGGTGAGTTTCCTTGAAGATATAATTTCCCAAAGTATCCAATACTTTTCACCCTAGTAGAGGAATTCTAAGGGACATGTCTGCTGTGTTCAGTTGTCATGCAGAGGGGCAGACCATGTTCTGTACAGTCTAGAAGCAAGTGCTGCACCAGAAATGGATGCTGCAGAATGGGCTCTGCTCACACTTCCACTGCATCTGCGCAGGAAGCATGTGCTCACTTAGGCCATCCAGCTGCGCTCCAATTGTTCTGAGGAAGAGCAGAGATGCTCGTCTGTGTGATGGTGAATGCTCAAGGATGCTAACAGTGAGGCAGCCTGACCTCTCGAGGATGTCAGGGACAGGTAAACAGGTGTCTCAGGTCACTGGGCATGAGAAAACGCATTTGGGTCTCATGGGTCTAGAAATGGTTGGATTACCTTGAGCATGTAAGCTTGGGTAAAAATTATGACTTCTTAAGAGCCACCGTGCAAACCATTAGCTGTGGACTACAGACAGGTAAGAGCCCATGCTTTGCTCTTACACTTCTGCCATTCCATATCAGACTAATCTCCAGCTTGTTACTGTCATAGGCTTAAGTACTGAGACCTTTATCATTGTTGCTACTGTAGAAAGAAGTTTTATAGGGGGTTTATAGCACCCTCTCAGCTTTCTCCGAGGCTCTGACCCCTAACACTAAACACAGTGCCCCCCACCCAGAGCTTCAGCACCTGTCACCTGACTGGACCTGTTTGTTGTAGTGCAGGCAACCTGGATGGCCTACGATATGGTGGTCATGCGTACCAACCCCACACTAGCAGAGTCCATGCGCCGGCTGGAGGATGCCTTCCTCAACTGCAAAGAGGAGATGGAGAAGAACTGGCAAGAGCTACTCACCGAGACTAAACGCTAGCAGTAAGCCACCATCTGTCACCAGCCTGAGTGCAGAAGCCAGGGGCATGGGTTCAGAGGCCCAGGTGTGTAGCTGTGTGCACGGCACTCGTTTTTCAATAAACTTATTTTCAAGCAAACCCAAGAGCTCCTTTCTGTCTCGCACTACAGCTGATAAAACTTCATATCAGACTCTGTGAGCAAAGAACAGTGTGTAAGGGAGATGCTGTCGGTGGGCAACACCTGTTGGTGTCAGCTGTCCTAAGTGCAGAACAAAAAGAAGGGGAAACGGGGCAGGTGAGACTGCAGACACAGGCGCTTCCACTCAAGACTGAGTCCAGTCCCCAGGACCACGTAAAGGGATGAGGAGAAGAGCAACCCACAGAGTTGTTCTCTGACCTCCTCATGTACACATGCCACATGCATTTCCCTCACAATAATAAGTAAAAACTCATTTCTTTTTAAAATATTTTATTATTTTATATGTATGGATGTTTTAACTGCATGTATGTTTGTGAACCATGTGTATTCAGTGCCCGCAAATACCAGAAGAGGGTGTCAGATCCCCAGGAATGAGGCTACAGACAGTTGTTAGCCACTATGTGGATTCTAGGACTCAAACCTGGGCCCTCTGGAAGAGTAACCAGTGCTCTGAACACAGAGTCATCTCTCCAGCCCCTAAATTTCTTTCTTTCTTTCTTTCTTTTTAATGTAGAAAATGGCCTAGTTGGGACAAGTCAGGTTGCAGGCCAGGACAAGCAAGAGTACTCAGATTTGAGCCGGATGATGGTGGCACATGCCTTTAATCCCAACACTCAGGAGGCAGAAGCAGACAGATCTCTGTGAGTTCAAGGCCAGCCTGGACTACAAGAGCTAGTTCCAGGACAGGCTCCAAAACCACAGAGAAACCCTGTCTCGAAAAAACAAAAAAAAAAAAAAAAAAAAAAAAAAAAAAAAAAAAAAAAAAAAAAAAAAAAAAGGAGTACTCAGATTTATCTACTTGCCTAAAGTGGGCTTTAGTAGTTAACCTAGGACACCAGGCCAGATGGCCACTGGCGATCCTGTTCCACGGACCTCCTGAATGGCAGGTGTTCAGAGGAGTAGTAAATGCCTCCCCTGCTTTACACAGCTAACAGCAGGTTTAACTAGAGTAAGCGCGGGGCTCATCTAGAAAGAGCTTGAAAGAAGTGGTGAGAGGGCCCAGAGAGTTTGAGAGAGGCTCACCAGGTGCCAAACCATCCTGACCCAACCTGGGCTGGCCAGGACTGTGGGCAGCAAAGTGATTATCCAATCCAGGAATAATATATTGAAGTGCCATTCAGACCCAGACTCTTTTGTTTGGTTTTGGTTTTTAGGTTGGGCTGGGTTTTTTGTTTGTTTGTTTATTTGTTTTATTTTGAGATAAATAAATCTCTGTGTAGTTTTGGCTGTCCTAGAACTTGCTCTGTAGACCAGGACGGCCTAGAACTCACAGAGATCCGCCTGCCTCTGCCTCCCGAGTTCTGGGAGCAAAGGTGTGTGCCCCACCGCCCAGTCAGACCCAGACTCACTCCTAAAGGACCTCAAGATAGCAAAAATCCCGGAGTGAGGATGTTTCCTGAGAAACTTCGCTTCATTTTCCATCTTGGGAGAACATAGGAAGTTCAAAGGGGTTTCCAACAAGTACCAAAGAGTCCCACAGACAGGGTTGTGATGAAGCCAAGCCATCCTAAGCAGGTAGGACCTGAGATCCAAAGCAGGGTATAGGGGAAGCCAAAAAGGGACCAAGAGAGCCAGGGTTGGAGGGTAGAAGGGATTCATTTCAGGTAATTAACAACCTTTAACTTGACAGAGAGCTTTGGGCACAAAACATAAAGTTCTCCTCTAGGTTTCTTCCCCACACCCCTGGTCCACTCAGACCCACCCAGAGAAGTGTTTCTCTTGAGAGCAGACACACGGTTCTGTTTTTTCACCCAGAACTTAGATTGTGGTCTGTAACCAGGTCTTGGGGGGCAAAGTCAGAGTGAATGGATAGAGAACCCCCTTACTTCCCAGGGGAAAGGGCTGCAGCTCCTTGGCCTGGAACTGGGCAGTCCCCTCAGAAACAGTGAAGGTAGCGGTGACCTGGTGGTTGAGACAGTAAATGGTGTTGCCCAGGACTGTGCAGTGGAGCGGGGCAGGGTCGGGCAGGGGCAGGGAGGCAGCACGGCTCCAGGAGCCTGTCACTGTGTTGTAGCGCATCACCGCAGCGCCTACGCCCCGCAACAAGTCAAAGCGGTATAGGAAGCCGCCTAGTGCCACCATATCACTGGAGCGCCGGTGGCTGGCACTATAGGGACACTCATCCCATGAGTCTTTCACTGGGCTGTATCTGAGCAGGCGGTAAAAGAGGTGACCCCCCGTGACATAGATTTCTCCTCGGCAGACCACAGCCTCATGGGCCACAGGGAAGGTGCCCTCGGGAAGGGATGCTCTCAAGGTCCAGGTATCTGTGCGTGGGTCATAGCGCTCCATGCTGTACAGGCACTCACCACCAATGGCGTAAAGCATCCCATCCAGAGCCACCAATTTGAGCTGGGCCCGGGCTTGCTGCATGGGCCGAACCTGGCTCCAAATGTTGGTCAGAGGGTTGTAGCAGTACACCTTGTTAGAGCAGACAGCCTTGGCACCAGAACCTCTGATGCCACCTGCCAGAAACAGATAGTTATGCATCGTGCACAGACCACATCCCCGGAGTGGGACCTCCTCTGGTACTTGAATCAGGGGCCGCCACACATTCTCTTGTGGGTTGAACACATGAAGGTATGTATGAAAATGCAAATGCTCAGGCCTGGTTGCCGGTGCGTCCTCACCAGGAGGGCCCCTCGTGAGCCCTGAGCGGCTCACCTGATAAAGGCTGGGCAGCTCGAGGACCCCCAGCACTGTTTGGCCCTGGCAGGTCCGCAGGTTCAGGATGCGCTCCCTATCGGCGCCACTCAGCTGTCGGTAGAGGTGTGGGTCTCCCAGGACATGCAGCAAGTTGTTGCTCATCAAGACATAGGTGTCCTGGGCTAAGCCCAGCTCTCCATGCTGCTGGGCAAAGGCCAAAACCTCCAAGCAGCTGCCTAGATCTAGCTTTGGAGGCCATAGCGCTGTGGTAGGCTGCGAGGCCTGTGAGCGGGACTTCTGAGACCCCTCCACCACTCCCCAGCTGCCAGGCTTCTGCAGAAAAATCATAAGCTTTTGTGTCTCTTTCTGTTTCTCTGTGAGGACGTCCCTGCTGCCTGAAGGTCTGGTTCCCTCCTTTAGCCCCTGCCCCGTGGGCTTCTGGGATACTTCTTGAGTAAGTATCTGTTCAGAGCTCTGAGCTAAGCTACGTTTTCTCCGCCGAGGCTGAGGGATGGGCTGAGCTTCATGCTTCATAGTAGATGGGACAAGACCAGGCTGTGCCGACGCAGGGAACTCTGGGACAGCCTCAGGCTTTGCAGCTGGGGCCCGAGATTCTTGACTTTCCTCCTTGGTTTCATCTCCTCTGGGGTCCCGAGTGGAAGACACACTAGTATCCACGCTCATCGGCTGCGTTTCACATCTGCCCTCAGCTTGGCCCCCTGAACCTACTGGTGTGACCAAGATTGATGGTGGTCTGTGTTTGTCCTGGAGGCTGGAGAGTGCCCCTGCAGAGGCTAAGGTACCTGGCTGTCTACCGCCCAAGTATGCAGATGTGTTGGGCTGAGCAGGACTCTGAAGATCTGCTCTTGGGGCACTACCATCAGCCTTTTCTTGCCTTGGGAAGGGGTGACTTCTAAGAACCATGGCAATAAGGTTTCCCCAGCTAGCTGAGATTCGTCCATCCAGGGAGCGCTTGGAGAGGCCCACACTTGACTCCTGAGACATAGGTCTTAGTTCACTGTCGACTGCAGAAACCTGGGCTTCAACTAGGGCAGAGGCTGCTGTTGGGGATGAGGTTGGTGTTGAATTTAGGGTTAAGGCTGTAACTGGAGTTGGGGATGGGGTTGGTGTTGAAATTGAGCTTAAGGCTTTAACTGGGGCTGGGGTTAATGATGGGGCTGAGGTAAAGGTTGGGGGTGATATTAAGGATGGTGATAGGATTGCTTCCGGGGCTGAAGTTGGGGCTCCTGCTGAGGCTAAAGTCTGTGTTGGAAGGGAGGCTGGTCCTGCTCTGAGATTTTCACCACCCTGGTTAACCTCCAGAGACAAACTGTTTAAAGGAGCAAAGGTAGAGACTGCGTGTGGAAACCCAGGGCTGCGATGTACTGCCGTGGCAGAGGATGGAACCAGCTCTGTGTTCAGGGTCAGAGGAGATGCTGGAAGATTGTGAGAGGGGGTGCAGCTGAAGCCACCAGCGGACTTGGTCTTGTCCGAGATAAGCACAGCCCTCTGGCCAGCATCTGAACCTCCAGCTATCTGCTCACTCTCCTTGCCCTGACGGGAGCCTCTCCCTTGGCTATTGAGGTGGCCATCTCCTGATTTCTCCATCCTGCTCTGGTCAGCAACTTGGTCCTCTTCACAGGCCTCAGGGTGCAGCTCTTCTGGCAAGGGGCCCTGGGAGGACGTGAAGTTGCTGGTGACAACAGCTGCCCCACTCTCCCGGGACCAGGCTTCCTCATCAGTCAGAATCCCCTGAGTCTCCCGAGGGGCAGGGGACCCAGGCTCCCTGTTCTCCCCGTCCTTAGCCCCTGAGCCTGCAATGCTGACGGGAGCAAGCTGAAGGCCGCTCCTCCCACACACGTCCCCGGAGTCCACCAGAGGTCGACTCTCCACGGCATCAGCTAGGCCCATCTCCTCAGGACCCTTAAACCCCCTGCGTGAGTGGTGCGATGAGGGACCTGCAAGGGAACTGCTGGTGAAGATGTCCCGAGTGGCCGCAGTTGCCAAATCCACAGCATCCCACACACTCACCACAGTGCCCAGGCGGAGGGGGTCCAGCTTTAGAGGACGGCAGGGTCGGTCTCCTGATCTGGCACCGGGTCGCCGCCGCCTGCGCAAGCTGCCTAGGCTTCTCCCCAGGGGCCCAGGAGTCCCCACAGCCAGGTGCCACGGGCTGGTTTCCTGTTGCTCTGTATGGACAGGGTCCTGCTGAGCTGCCCCCTTACCACAGGTGCCAGCTGCCACCACCTGCATCTCAGTTTGGCAATCAGGACTTCGAGGAGTAAAACGGATCGTGATGGGGACAGGAATATCCCTTGCTTTGCTGTGGCCCTGGAAGGAAGTTTCTGGCCTGGGTGGCTCCCTTCTTTTCTTTCCCATGGTTGCTGGGATGATCCCTCTGCTGGCCACCTCTCCAGGTGTCTTGAGTGAAAGCCAAGCGTCTGATTCCGCACTTCTGCCTCGTGATGGCTCTGAGTCCTGGGCCCTGGCTGTAGCTGGTCTTCTGTGGCCATCTCCAGGAGCCTCTGATTTCTCCCGCCCTTTGCTCTGCCCCTCACTGGCATCACTGTCCTTGGACTTCGGGTGCAGGGCCAACGTGTTTCCTTCAGCCTCAACCCGTTGCACACCCGCAGGTGTGGGTGCTGATCTGTCTGCCTCCTGGTCCTGCCTGGAGCCAAACCACTGCAAAGTCAGTGCTATGGTGGCTACCGCGGCTAGCGCCAGCAAGGTGAGTACAGCCCCACCCCAGTCGTCCTCTCCGTCACCATCCCAGCCCCAGAGGGGCCCACTAACCTCGCCAGCACCCTGGAGCATGGTGCAGACCGCAGATGTGCTGCGAAGAGCCTGTTCTGGCTGACAGCTATGCACGCCCCACACCCAGCCTGGGCTGCGGGCTGGGCAGATGACACCGCAGGCAGCTCACCTAGAGACAGCCCTGTTAAGGTGGACTGACTCTCCGGGCCCTCGACAATCAGGTTTGCAGGCTTGTCAGTAAACCGAACTGGCCCTATCAGGAAAGTCCGTGATCTACAGCAGCCTGCCCTTGGCTGTGTACCCCAATTCCGCCCCTTCCCCCTCCTTCTTTGCTCAGGGTCCTAGGGGCAAATGAAAGTATTCCTGGACACACTGCCAACATTTCACCCAGCTATCTTCTGCCTTAAAGACCCTCATACTCCCCTCCACCCAATTCACCCTACACCCTATAAGCTATGTAAGCGCTCTGACAGGGAAGGGTTACCACACAGGGAGATGCTATCTCGGGGCTTAGCAACATGATGCTGCCCCGATGAAATTACCAGAAACTGGAGAGGCCAATTCCACCATGGCCACCAGGGAAGGGTGGGGGGGGGGTTGTTTTGGTGGGTTTTCAGGCTGAAAACAGAGAGCCTGGAACGAGGGTCATGAGAGTTACCTTCTGGGTATGAGACAAGTGAAGGTCTCATCCTCCCTCCTCCATCAGCTACCAAACATTGCTCCAATAAAGAGATAAAGTCACGTTCCAGTCAGGAGGGAAAAATAAAAGTGAGAAAGGATGAAGAAAACCTAAACATTCTATCTCCCTCTCTGTGGCCAGTATTATTCCACCCTAACTTAAATCCTCCTGGCTCCTTTTACTACCCTGTTTGGGTACTGCCCCAGGGTCCCTCATTGAAGCTCAGGGCATAGCCTACCTCTCCTGTAGTAACGCCATTAAACTGTGCCCAGAGCCTTCAGAAACCCTCTCTGGCCCGGTGCCCTACCAGTCCAGTCCCTAGAACTCCTCTCACTCCTAAGCCGTTCCTATCTGAACCAAATCACACTCCATCCCACCTCTTGGCCCAGTTTGGTTCTCAGGGGCTGCCATGTGGATACTCTACTAGGCATAAGCACTTGGTATTTTGGGGAGGGCACTTCTCAGTCTGCTCATCACTGGAATCTATATGAGCAGTGAGTCTTAACATTTACAGGAATGACCTAGACATGTAGAAAAAGAGACTGGAGTCTCCACAATAAAGGTAGCTCCCCCAACAGGAAGTGAACCTTTTCTTCCTCTGGAACACTATGGACCCAACCACTCCTTGACTCGGGCATCGAGGAGGTGGCAAAGAGTGTCCCTGGCACCTAGCCTGGGCTCTGCTGAGCCTCAAATATCTCATCTGGCCTGGTCCCATCCCAGCTTCCCATAGAACTATTAGGTAACAGTGAGAGGTTGGGGTGAGCCTTACACCTTAAGGTGGACTTCAGCTGGCAGAGGCCTTTCTTGCCATTATTCCTTGTCCCAGACTCAGGCTCTGTAGTTAAGTTTGGTTTATGGTTAAGTTTGAGATCCTGGACCTTCGATAGATAGAACTGCCACTTTCCCAGTCCCTCTTTATGGGATACCCAGTACTTTGGCAGTTCCACACAGCTTCCGAAGATCCAGGGCAGTTAAAGAGCGAGGAAGGTCACAGAGGAAGGTGAATGTAGAAATCAACACAAACCACAAAGAATGAGGGTCATGGAGGGGGCTCAGGAAGGAGAGGTAAGGAGATTTCGTGAGCATTTTTGGCCAGTCTGGTCTAGGCAGTGAGCTCCAGGAGAACCAGAGCTATGTAGTAAGACCCTGGAAGGAAGGAAGGAAGGAAGGAAGGAAGGAGAGAGCACTGGTTGTGCTGGCACATACCAGTAGGATTTGCTGAAGGAGGCAGAGGCAGGAGGATCATGAGTTCGAGGCCAGCCTGGGCTACACATTTTAATAAAAAAAAGNGAGGAAGGGAGGAAGGAAGGAGAGAGCACTGGTTGTGCTGGCACGTACCAGTAGGATTTGCTGAAGGAGGCAGAGGCAGGAGGATCATGAGTTCGAGGCCAGCCTGGGCTACACATTTTAATAAAAAAAAAGGAGGAAGGGGGGAGAGAGAGAGAGAGAGAATCAAGATCTACCATAACGAAAACTAATAAAATAGAAATGTAAAATATAGCTGGGCGGTGGTGACTCACACTTTTAATCCCAGCACTTGGGAGGTAGAGGGAGGCAGATCTCAGCCAGTTCAAGGCCAGCCTGGTCTACAGAGTGAGTTCCAGAACATTCAGGACTGTTACACAGAGAAACCCTGTCTCAAAAACAAACAAAAACAACAACAAAAAAAATGTAAAAAAAATAAGCTGGAGCAATGGCTCAGCAACATATGTAAATCAATTAATGTAATACAAACATAACTGGCCGCAAAGGCAGAAATCACATGACCGTCTCAATAGATGCAGAAAAGGCTTTTGGCAAAATCCAATATCCTTCTTTGATAAAATACCCTAGGAAACTAGGAACAAAACAGACATATTTTAACACAAAAAGACTATATATGACCAACATACAGCCAACATCATACCAAAGAGAAAAAACATAAAAGCATTCCATGAAAACCAGGAACAAGACAGAATGGTTACTTTCTCCACTTTTATTCAACATATTCCTTGAAGTCTTAGCTACAGCGATAAAACAAAAGGAATAAAAATGGACACAAATAGGAAAAGACAAAGAACCCTCATTTGCAGATTCTATATATATATATATAAGGCCCTAGGGATTTATCAGATAGACCAGGCTGGCCTTGAACTCAGAGAGCCAACATCCCAAGTGCTGGGATTTCAGGTATGCTCCATCACACCTGGTGTCTAGTTTTGTTGGCTATTATTTTTGCCTTTACCAAGCTCCCTCAACTGTCATTTTTTACAAATAGATATTTATAATTTCGCCTATAATTTTGTTAGTATCTTTTTGTTGCATTTTATTTTAATTGAGACATGATCTCTCTATGTATCCCAGGCTGGCCTTGAACTTGAGACCTTCCTGCTCCAGCTCTGAGGGTTGGAACTACAGGCTAACTCCCTCCACCACTGTTTTCTTTTTTCTTTCTTTCTTTCTTTCCTTCTTCTTCTTCTTCTTCTTCTTCTTCTTCTTCTTCTTCTTCTTCTTCTTCTTTTTGCTATTGTTTGGTTTGGTTTTGGGGATATTTTTTCACCCTACTTGTCAAATGAATTTTAAATGTCATTAAACATTACAATTTTTTATTAACATTGAGGTTATCTTAGGGCTATAATTTTTTTCTCTGAATACAACTTCAGCTGTAGCCTATACAGTTTTCATCTCAAGTATTTTATATCATTTATAACTCGAGGTTTGAGTTTCCTTTTAATCCCAAAGTTTTTAATTTTTTTTTACTTAAAAAAATTATTCACTGAGAATTTGTATTGGAGTGTGATTTAATCATACATTGCTGCCTCTCTATTCAACTGGTATTATTTTCTGGCCCAAAACATTAGGTTTTGCAAATATTTCGTGGGCTTACATAGATATGTAAATAAATTGAACTTTCTGTATTATTCCTTTTTTCTTAAACTTGGGGGGGGGCTTTTTTTTTCTAAACTTGTATTTTTGTCCGCAGATTTACCTAATTCTGGAATGGCTGTGCTGGCCCGCGGCCCAGCCTAATGTCCATCCAGCACACAGTCTCGGCAGTAGCAGGAGATGATAGGGCTGAAGGCCCCAGAGGGTGGGGCCAGACACTTGATCTGGTTGCCAGGAAGCAAGATGGGACATAATGGGTCTGAGAGTTTGATGCGAGTTTGTCAAACTGCCCGGCTTTGCTTTCTCAAGAGGGTAACCATCGTAGCAGGTTAGTGCATCTCCAGACCTTCCCTCGGAGCATCCTGTGCCCCACAGGACCCCTCCCCAGGACATCCTTTCCCAACACCTCTAAAACACCTCTCCCACCCAGAAACTCCAGACCATTCTCTTTCCAGTGTCTGGGTCCAAACTTGGCCTGTAGTTAGTTAAAACCCTGGTACTGAAGGTCCTGGGATAGGAGGCCAGAGATGGCTTTGAAGCTCGTTCCTGCCCCAGTGCACCCGCCTCCCAGCCTGGGAAACTACTGTTTGTTTTCCGGGTGTCATGGGATACGTGTTCGGCCTTGCTGTCGGTCGTGCTGGCTCCCGAGTGGAGCTAGGGAAGCGCGTCTCCTCCGAATTCTGTCCACAGGTGCTGCAAGCCCCTAAGCGGCCCCGCCTGCGCCATGGGCTCAGAGGTCTGGGTCGGCACTTGGCGGCCACATCGGCCCCGCGGCCCCATCGCGGCACTCCACAGAGGCCCAGGGCCCAAATACAAGCTGCCACCGAACACCGGTAGCAAGGGCTGATACCCGGGAGGAAATAGGGGAAGGTGGGACTGTGGGCGGTCTACACTGGTGCCAGGAATCCAAGAACCGGAGGACTCTGCCCGGAGCAGAAAGGGAGGCAATAAGATAACGGGTTCTGTGCTGGGACTGCCTTGGTGAAGTGGGGGAGGGAAAGGAGCAAAGCTGGCAGCCGCAGGGCGCTGCGGAAGGTGACGCGGGGATGCTACCGCAGGTTACATCCTGCACGACCCATCTCGGCCGTGCGCGCCCGCCTTCACCTTCGGCTCGCGCCTGCCCTCGCAGCACACAACCTGCGGGCCGGGACCGAGCCACCTAGTGCCCGCCCGCATGACCGTGCGCGGAATCGATGGCACCCCAGCCTTCTCCATCTATGGTCGCCTACGCCACACAGCGCCTGTCCTCACTCCGGGACCGGGTCAGCACCCTGGGGCACGGGTCTCCCCAAAGTGGAACTGCCTCTAAGGAAGCCCACTGGGAAACTCCTCACCCAAACCCAGAATCCCGGGAACCTTCTACCCATACCCAGAAACCCGAACCTCAATGTGGCTCCAATTTCTCTCAAGTGCCAAGACCCCAGGCTAAGCTCCCCATACCCCATCCCCGCCCCGCCCCAGTTCTGGCCTACACTCTTGGTCCATCCCATAGGCAGATACTTCCCAGAACGCGCGGGAAACGCAACGTACCCCAGTGCTCCCCGGCATACCATGGCTTCCCGAAACTGGGGCATCCTCTCGAAGCAGCAAACCCCAGGTGAGGCCAGAGGGCTGTATCCAGCACTAGGGACCCTCCCGCACCCCAACCTGCAGTCTGCCATAAATACAAGGAGATTGGTCCAACATAACCTCTTGTTGGCTCCTCCCTAGGCCCTGCGTCCTACACTGTGCCTTCGCTCTTGGGTCCTCGTGTCATAGGCAAAGTCTCAGCCCCAACCTACTCCATCTATGGCCGCAGCGCTGTGGGCAGCTGCTTCGAGGACCTCAGCAAGGTGGGGGAAAGAGTTGCCAGCTGGCTGAACGTCTCTAGTAATCAAGAGGGTCAGTAGAACTGGGGGCGGTGAAAAACATCTGGCGTTTTACCACTTAGGAAACTGAGGCAGGAAGATTGTGAGTTCAAAGTCAGCCTGGGGTACATAGTAAAAGTCTAGCCTGAGGGAGGGGGGAAAAAGGATCAGTAGTCCACAAGGAATTGAGGCTAGACTCAACACCCTGCTCCTGTCCTAGACCCCAGGCCCCTGTGCCTACCACGTTGTGAACCCGGGGGTCTACAAGACTCGAGCCCCGCAGTTCACGATGCTGGCACGGACTTCGCCACCCCAAGAAAGCACTCCGACGCCAGGACCCGCAACCTACAGCGTGGAAGAGGTGGTCTGGAGTCCAGGGTCAAGGGGCAGGGGATGAGGATCTGTGGATGGGGTCCCTGGGGTACAGGCGTTCCTGTATGAAGCCGAACAGCTGGCTTGGTAAGATCAGCAGCATCTCCTGGCCCGCAGCACCGGAAGCCTCGTGGCTGGAGCTTCGGGATCAAGCACTCAGACTACCTGGCCCCCATGATACCGTCCCACGTGGAAGACTGACTCTAGCAGGCACGCACCGGCCCTCGGTTGTTTTCTTAAAGCTTTCCAAGCCGGCACTGTGTGTGTGCTTCTCTCTCTGCGTGGTTCGGCGGGTGAGGGGTGGGGCAGATGAGCGCGAGCGTCGATGGTGCTAGTGGCGTCTGAACTTTGGAAGTGTCTGAACCCAGAGACTAATCGGACAGACAGCAGTGCCCGGGCCCATTGATATCAAGACCCCAGAGAACTGGGCAGGGCGGAAGCCAGTCCAGAGAGTACCACATCCTCCTGGCCCTTAGGGTCCCGGAAACATCCCCAATTGGCCATTAAAGTAGCAGTTAGGGAGCAGCTGAAGTGGTGATTGGCCTGACAAGTGCCACCTCCTGGCACCGCCCCATCTGCCCGCTGTCCCTGGACTACCTCTTTCTGTGGCTTTGTTCTGCACCTAACTCCACGACGGGCTGAGGCACACCAGGTCGGAACCGGAACAGAGCCAGAAAACTGGTAAAGGCCCCTAAGCTGACTAGGTACTGGACTGGGGTCAAGTTGTGAGATCGAGAAAAGGAAGCCAGACTTGGGGGTGAAAGGTGCTGGGTGATGAGGAAAACATGGGTCAATGAGGGGCACCAGAAACACATTTAGGAGCAAGGTTGGGACAACGGACCATGGTGGCTTCGGGAATATGGCCGGGGAGGCGGGTTCCAGCGGTGTCTCAATATCCTCTGCAGGCTGAAGCAATGGCAGCTCCGGGGACACCATCTCCCTCAACCCCAGAGGCAGCTGGTGCCATCTCAGGGGGAGGGGGGAGGGAACCCAAGAAGCTGCCTGAGCTGATCCGCCTCAAACGAGATGGAGGGCATCTGAGTGAGGCAGATATCAGGGATTTCGTGCAAGCAGTGATGGATGGAAGCGCACAGGACACACAAATTGGTGTGTGGCAAGTCCTAATTGGTTCTTGACCCCTAACTTCCCCATTCGCACCTCAAGGATCCCCAGTACCTCATCACCATCCCAGGCCGCAGAAAACCCATGCGCTGTGAACAACCCACTCATATGTCCACACACAGGGGCTATGCTGATGGCCATTCGGCTGCAGGGCATGGACCCAGAAGAGACATCCGTGCTGACGCGGGCCCTGGCAGACTCTGGGCAGCAACTAGAGTGGCCCAAGGCTTGGCACCAGCAGCTTGTGGATAAACACTCCACGGGAGGTGTGGGGGACAAGGTCAGCCTGGTTCTGGCACCTGCCCTGGCTGCGTGTGGCTGTAAGGTTAGTAACTGCTATCTCCACGAATCTCTGACCCACTCACAGGCACCTCCTACTCTCAAGCCAGGCTCAAAGCTCTCAAAGACAAAATCCAGGGTTGTCCTGTCCCCCAATACAGACCATGGAATACAGCTGCCTCAGTACCTAACAGCACCCTCAGAGAAAGAGCTGGGTCTTTCTCTTGTCCCATGGACTTGGGTCCCAGACATATATGAGCGCCAGTTCCTGCCCTACTGACAAAATGCTCCCTGCCAAGTATGATTTATTTTCCTTTCCAGCAACTGGGCACCCACATGAACTGTTTAAAATATTTGAAAATAGTACAACTGCTTAAAGTAATTTCAGCTGAAGCTCTCACTAGGGGAGCGGGAAAATGGGGATAAGGGGAGTGGTGCCGGGGCAGACAGGAATCCTATCCACCAGGTGCCAATGATCAGCGGACGTGGTCTGGGACACACAGGGGGCACACTGGATAAGCTGGAATCTATTCCTGGGTTCAATGTCACCCAGAGCCCAGAGCAGGTACAGGTGGGCCACAAATGGATCACTGATCTGGGTTGAGGGAGAATCACTGGCCAGAATCACGGGACAACCAACGGATAGGTTATTTATACGGGTCACTAGTGAGAGTGTTGACTATTCTAAAGGTCATCAGTTGTAGATGGGCCAGAGTCCTAAGAGAACTTTGATCTGGATTATTACTCGGGAGTAGGTAGAAAACACCGATGGGCTGGTAATCATTAATGTGTCATAAGATAATCAGGTCAGGCATCAGAATCAGATTATCGGCACTTAGGCCATGTTTTTTTAATTTTTTTAATATTTATTTATTATGTATACAATATTCTGTCTGTGTCTATGCCTGCAGGCCAGAAGAGGGCACCAGACCCCATTACAGATGGTTGTGAGCCACCATGTGGTTGCTGGGAATTGAACTCAGTACCTTTGGTAGAGCAGGCAATGCTCTTAATCTCTGAGCCATCTCTCCAGCCCCTTAAGCCATGTTTTGAACTCTCGCTGGGCCTGTGGCCAGGGCCAGTGAAAGGGCCCTTCCTCCAAGGTCACTGCAGGTATCTGAACAGATATTGCGCTTACTGGAGGAAGTGGGCTGCTGCATTGTTGGCCAGAGTGAGAAGCTGGTCCCTGCTGATGGAATCCTGTACGCTGCACGAGATGTGACAGCTACTGTGGACAGTCTACCACTCATTACAGGTGACCTGATACGGGGTACCCTGACTGACATACGATCCGCTGGCCACTGCCATCTTTATCACAGAGGCAGTACCCTCCGTCTCCAGGTATCATACCCTGGGATGATGTTTCTGTTCTCCACAGCCTCAATCCTCAGTAAGAAGGTCGTGGAAGGACTGTCCACTCTGGTGGTGGATGTTAAGTTTGGGGGGGCCGCCGTCTTCCCAGACCAGGAGCAGGCCCGAGAGCTGGCAAACACATTGGTGAGCCCATGCTGGGCCTCTATGGCCTTTTGTTTTGTTTTGTTTTTCGAAACAGGGTTTCTCTATGTAGCCCTGGCTGTCCTGGACTTGCTCTGTAGACCAGGCTAGCCTCAAACTCACAGAAATCCGCCTGCCTCTGCCTCCCGAGTGCTGGGATTAAAGGCGTGTGCTACCATTGCCCGGCCTCTGTGCCCTTTCTATGAAGAAATGTGAACCTCACCTTCGGTCGTATCCCTGCCTCTGCCCACTCAACAATCCCTGTAGAACCAACTGGCAATCCCCCTTTCCAGCCCTCCTACCGTATCTAATCAAGGCTGTCCTGAGCTTGGGACTGGGGCAATCCTCCACAGAACCCCTCCACTAGGGCGAACAAGACCACCCCACCACCACCTGGCAGTGAGGCCCTGGCAGTGTTGGTTTCTGATCTGCACCCCGAGTATTTCCTGACATCCCAACCCAGGTGCAGTAGGCATGGAATTAGGTAATGCCAACTGGACACTGAGTAGTGCCTCCCCAGGTTAGGGCGGGAGTGGGCCTGGGGCTGCGGGTCGCCGCAGCCCTCACCGCCATGGATAGCCCTCTGGGCCGCAGCGTGGGCCATACCCTGGAAGTGGAAGAAGCGTTGCTTTGCCTGGACGGTGCGGGGCCGCCGGATCTACGGGACCTGGTCATTAGGCTAGGTGAGAGGGCTGGAGTTAAGATCACCTATCTATGTGTCAGGGCTCTCAACCCTGCGGTTCCTGAGCTCCGTCCCTCCCGCCAGCAGGGGGCGCCATCCTTTGGCTTAGCGGACAGGCGGAAACCCAAGACCAGGGCGTTGCCCGAGTGGCCGCGGCGTTGGATGACGGCTCTGCGCTGCGTCGCTTCCAGCTGATGCTTTCGGCGCAGGGCGTGGAGCCAGGCCTAGCCAGAGCACTGTGCTCCGGGAGCCCCGCGCAACGCCGCCAGCTGCTGCCCCACGCTAGAGAGCAAGAGGAGCTGCTCGCCCCTGCAGACGGTGAGACCGGATATCCCCGGCGCCAGGCCCCACCCACTTCCTCTCGGCGTCTTTTCCTTCCAGGTCCCGTCCTCGTGGGTCTGCCTGCAGCTCCCTAGCTTCTCCGCGACCGCCTCTCCTCCTTGCCCCAGGCACCGTGGAGAACGTCTTGGCGTTGCCGCTGGCCCGTGTGCTGCACGAGCTCGGGGCCGGACGCAGCCGAGCGGGACAGCCGATCAGGCCGGGAGTGGGTGCCGAGCTGCTGGTCGACGTGGGTCAGTGGCTGTGCCGCGGTGAGCGCCGTTCGGGACCCGCAAGCAGTCCTCCACTCCCGGTCGCCCTGTGTGGCCTAGGTAACCGCTCCGTCGTTCGCGCAGGTACACCCTGGCTCCGCGTACACCTGGACGGCCCGGCGCTCAGCGACCAGCAGCGCCGCGCTCTGCAGGGGGCGCTCGTGCTGTCTGACCGCGCACCCTTCAAGGCCCCTTCACCTTTCGCTGAGCTAGTCCTCCCACCGACCTTCGTTCAGCCCTAAATCCGACCCCACCGCAGGCAGGTGGGTGGGTCCCGCAGTTGAGCAAGCCCCCTACCCACCAGGGCGGGACTGGATGGGACAAGGTGAAACAAATGACCTCTGTGGTTTGTCTGGGGGTGCTGCCACTGCCTCGTCCTGTCCTTTGCGTGTGAGGTAGAGACCTGGTGTGAGGTCCGAGTGGTGCAGCCCAGAAAGGGGGTATGTTGTGAATATTTGTCAATCCCATCTTCTCCGGGTGATGCCAGAGACCTCAGGGACAGACGGGCCAAAGGTGCCCTGAGCACGAATGGGCTATTCTGTGTGACACTAGTGGTACTGGATTTCTCCTGAGCCCCAGATCACCTGAGGCTAGGAAGGATTACCCCTTTAAGGTAGTAAACCAGAGTATCAGCGACATCCTTCCTTTAAAAAAAATTTATTGTAAATAGACGCGTGTGTTCTGGTGCCCAGGCAAAGCATGTTCTGAATGCTTCTAGGCATCCAGAAGGAAGCCTGGTGGTTGAGGGGCAGATTATGGACAGATTGCGGTAATGAAGGAAGCGTGGTGATTGAGGGGCAGGTTATGGACAGATTGCGGTAATGAGGCTGAGGCTCCCTAGTTAAAGAACTAGGAGCGAACCAGCTATGGACAATTGGCGTTGCCTAAGCTCATGCTTAAGGCTTGAGGTGGAGCTGTTCTGCGTTCAGATGAGCCCCGACAGGCAGCTAGCCTGCGTGGATATGTGATGACAAGTTTCTCCAGCCAGTGGGGGCCCAGGCACCTTGTCTGTTCTTTTCCAACTGCTGGCATCTCTGTTCTTTTTCAGGAGCTTCAGGTCCATGGTGCTACAGGCTCTAGGGCCCAAAGCCTGGTCCAGGCTCTCTCAGTTCAAACCTCGAGTCCTTCTCCGGATCCCAGGAGGCGAAACTCTGTATGTAAAGTCCCG